CTGGCATGTGTTACGCGTGACACACATTGAATCAAATTAAATTTAATCAGGATACCTAAATTGTATGTAATTTACTTCTAATACATTTTTGTAACCAAATGTGGATCATTACAAAAATTCTTTTCCAAAAGTTACCATAAAATGTATGATGGATTAAAATTTTGAATTCTGTATAAGAAACTTCATGTTACACAAGAAAACGTCATAAGATTGTGAACCTAAAGAACCTTAAATGAGGATTTCTAATGCAGAAATGGCAGCAGAAAAGTCACAGCCTGATTACTATCAGATGAGATTAGAAAGAAGACTTTACATATTCAAATAAAGTCAGCATTAAAAGGATCTTTTCAAACAATGGCATTCTAAAGTCCAATAATTATTTTTAAAATTCTGTTGTAAACACCTAAAAAGTTCTGAACTATAAAAAATAAGGCAACTTGAAGTTAGGAATTTATGGATGAAATGAACTCTGGATTGCATACAGAAGCCATATTTGACTGGTGCTCGCTCGCGTTCCCTTTCTCTGAAAGCCTTTTAACAAGAAGGCTATTCACATGCACTACTGAAATGATATAATTGCTCAGAAGTAAATCAGAGAGTTTCTAAGACTCCACCATAGAGTAAACCAATTAAGATCATCACAGACTTCATGCTGTCAAATACATTACCTTGAAAGAAAATTATGCAGACAGCTTTTCTGAAGAACTCCATTTGTGCCACATGCTTTATTATTCTTTGAGGTGGAGGGGGTGGCAGGGAACATAATTCCTGTTTGAAAGGTCTTTTGTTTTCTGCTACCTTTACTTAAATGTTAGGGAGTACTATTTTTGTAGCCTATAAAGTGCTTCAAAAAAATGTTTAGTGACGAGTGCCATATAAAATAGAGAATTTTCATTATTCTCTGGGTTGTAAGAGGCAAAATGAATATTTGACTCTTAAAATGGTCTTAACATGTTGAAAAAAATTAACAAGTATCTAATAACCCTCTTCCCAGCCTTACAGAATTCTGAGCTCAAAGAGAAACTGACTTCTTGCTAATAAATATGTGTTCGTTAACAGCAGTATATATATCACAGCAAATTTAAATGAAAATTAATGTGGTATTCTTAAATTTAAGTCTTTTAAAAATGATCATTTAAACGTCAAATGTATGCGAATTAAATTTGAACCAATTTATAATGTTTTGCATATAAAGTAATACCACTTAAATACTATTGTAATAGAAAATACGGTGTGAGAGACTTTGAAGCCATCTGATTCCTGCTTATTTCTAAAACAATAATCAATTTGAATCACTTCAGGATTTGGCCATGTAGCAGATATAATCAGAGTGATACCAATTCATTTCCGGAGTCCTTTTTTTAAAGTGAAATCCTGCTTATTTAAATCATGAGATATTCTCAGTGGAAAAGACTGAGGAGAGGGCTGACCCCATGGCCTAGTGGTTAAGGAACCTAGATCTCATATGGTTGGCCTCATAGTTCAAGTCCCAGACCCACTGATTTGAGAAACATGCTGTGTGGCCAAAATCCAAGCAGGATAAAGAAATGGAGGAGAAAGAATTGCTGTGTGACCACAACCCAATGGGGAGGTGCTTTCTCCCTCTCCTCCCTCTGTCTCTCTCTCTTTCTGGCAAGCATATATGTCCTCTGCTAATTTGAAAAAAAAAAAAAAAAAAGATGGAGAAGAAACCACTTAATGAATGTGAGTATACATCTCATAAAAACAATCAACTGGGGCCAGCAGGTGGCATGAGCATCGTGGTTAAGGTGCTGGACTCCCACATGGCCAACTGTAGTTTGAGTCCTAGACCTGGTGGCTTGCTTTCTCACTTTCTCTGTCTCACTCTCTCTGTTGAACACACATGTCCTGTGGCAAAATAAAAAATAATAACAATAAATAAAAATGAAATAAATAGGGGCCAGAAGGTGGCGTGGTGGTTGAAGGGCTG